GCGTGTTGTGTATATATATTTGTTGGATTTATATAGATGGATGGATAGAGGTATATATATATTATCTAAAGTCTAAAGGTATATATTTGTCTATATAGCGATATATATATATATATATATGTATTATATTCGATCTAAATGGATGGATAAATAGTGGTAGATATGTATTATAACTTTATCTTTATCAATATATATACAATTTTATCTATATAGCGATATATATATATATATATATGTATAGTTTCTAGTTTATTCTTATTTTGTGTAACTGTATATTTGTATTCCTGATGCATATTTATACATTTATCTAATTATTTTATATTTATATTTGTATTCATATATATGTATACATACATGCATCATACATACATACAATATATATATATACGACATACATATACATTGCTTTAAATAGACATACCCTTATACATATGAACAATTGTATGTATATGAATATATATATATATATACTTATAAGCATATTTATATATGTAAATATATTGTTATCGGTCTTATGAATTCTTTTCGGACATACATTGCTATTCATCAGCTTACTTGGCTGACACTATACTTATCCGACCTTTTCACAGGGCGTACTGGCGGTCAGAGGCAGGGGCCGATCACTTGGGAGACAGGAGCCCTCTTCTACCAGAAGACCCAGACAACAGGGAAACCAAGCCCGTGCAGGTGGCGGATGTGCCTATGAGCACAATGGAGGTGGGTGTGCATGGCCCTTCTCACTTTGAGATTGCGTTGTTTGATGAATAGTATCGTGTTGTTTGATGAATAGTATCGTGTTGTGGCCTGTAGATGTTAAAGCTTTGTACGCCGGAGTGCATTGCGTATTTCAATCGAATCGTTTCTTCATAGATCCCCATACCAACCAGCCTGTTGCTTGTTCGTGTCTCATCATTGAGGTGTAGTTCTACACAGTGGCAGTACCCTACTGACATGCTGGCTACCCCTCTCGTTGCCTCCCACATACTGTACCCCAACCAACAACCGCCTAACCTGCGGGGCTTGTCTCTCCCTGTTGCATAGGTGTTCCATGCCGCTGCGGTGTTCTCTGTGTTGTGGTTCCTGGGTAACTATGCCTTCAACCTGGCACTATCTCTGACCAGCGTGTCGTCCGTCACTATCATCAGTTCCACTTCAGGTATGTGCTGTGTGCGGGATTACTGGGCTATCTATGCTTTGTGTCTTGCTCGGGTTTAGTCACCATTTGATATTGGTGAACATGACGCCATGGTAAGGGGGTAGACAGGGATGTGCACAGATAGTCTTGTACTGATTGTTTTGTGATACGTTTGCACCCCGCATAGGTTTCTGGACGATGTTGCTAGAGCATATGCTTCTGCGTACGGACGATAAGCGTTTCTCTCTGGTAAAGATCGTCTTCATTATCATGTCCATTGGTGGCGTTGTCATGGTAACCATGTCTGACGCCCAGCACTCCGCGGACGATCCGTCAGCCGCACCCGAACCAACCAATGAAAACAACGGCCTGGAATGGGTGGCGGTGGGTGATATGATTGCCCTGTTGTCGGCTGCACTGTACGGTGTATACCTGGTGTTCCTGGAGCGTCGTATCAAATCCGACAAGCGCCTGGACATGACCATGTTCTTTGGGTTTGTGGGCGTGTGCAGCGCCTTTCTGCTGTGGCCCTGGTTCTTTATCCTGCACTTCACGGGTCTGGAAGTGTTCACATGGCCTGCTGCCAGCACGTGGGGTTATCTGACCCTCAACGCGCTGATTGGCACGGTATTGAGCGACTACCTGTGGCTCTATGCCACTCTGTTGACCACGCCTGTTGTGTCTACGCTCGCCCTGTCACTGACCATCCCCTTGGCGTTGGTTGTGGACTCGTTCACAAAGAGTATTGTCATGGACGGCATGTTCATTTGGGGCAGCGTGCTGGTGCTGGTAGCCTTTGTGGGTATGAATATGGCCTCGGATATGACTCTCGTCAAGCACGCGTTCTTGGGACTGGAGAAAGTGGTAGGTAGGAAAATGGCCAAAGTCTTAACAGGACACCGCAGTGAGGCGTGAAAGTGAGTGCACCCCTCGTGTTAAGGGTTTTAGGGTCTTGGACACCCGCACCAATTAGAGTGCATGCACGCAGGTATGCGGGAAAGTTAACGTTACGCTCTGTCCGGGGTCTCCCTGGATGCCGTATGTACTGTAACACAGATGTGTTTCACCGTATCCAATTTACCTAGCTGTCAATTGTACATAGTATAGTGGCACCTATATTCGATGCCAGAGGACTACGAAAGGGCAAGAGAAGAACATACACCGGGCAGACGCAAGAGCGCCCAGGGCAGCACGTAAGTCACGTAAATATTAGAACGTATGAGGTTTAACCAATAAGATTTTAGAATAAATAATGGAATCAAAAGTACGAACGTGGCGCAATCTGCTAGTGAGGGTGGGGATGTGCCTATAGAGATGTGTGGCGGTGAGTGACGTCTCACCTGTGGAAGTGTCTCGATCGTTCGTAAACACCTCAGTGTATATTGAGTAAGCGTTCCCTTCGAATGCGTAGATGCAAACGACGGGAGGATCTCATAAATTGATGTCTATTTGTTAGCCAAGTAAGTGATCCAGAGGCATGTTTTTTTGTTAGGCGAATAGCTGACCAGGGGCATGTCCACTTGTTACGCAAATAGGTGATCAAAGGCATGTCCTTGACTTGGACAAATAGATGACCAGGGACATGTCCTCTTGTTAGGCAAATAGGTGGCCAAGGGCATGTTCTTTTGTTAGGTGAACAAGTGTCCAGTGGCATGCCCAGAACCTCGCGTTGTCTCACTCTAATTTGTGAATTGTGGAATTGATCCGAGCAGAGTATTGTGTGGTAGCCGTCTTATACATGAAATAAGCCGTATATGATACCCTGTAGACGTCGTATCTCGTATATTATATATATCAACAGGAGAAGGATAAAAATTTATGAACGCGGAGATTAGCCTATCATATGCACGGCAGCTCGTGGATAGAATCAGCGCCTGCACCAGAAGACCCGCTTCCTATGTTTTACTATACTTTATTTCTTCCACTACGCATGGCTTCTGCTATTGCCCCGTTGACCGGCCTACAGTTCACCGCCGTGTTTGATGTTATCACGGACATCCTTCTTATGTGCCGTTTGATGGTTTGCTTTCTTGCTCTTTGGTTTAAACTTCTTGGTGACTTCCTTGGCCACCTGTTTGCGGATCTCCTCGGCTGTGAGGATTTTAGTCTTGGTTGCTTTCGGTCGACCTGACGAATAAGGCAGTAAGACAACATCATCACATTAGCGGATCGGAATACTGTAGCTGACATCAGAAGTACAGAAGCCGACGGCGTGATAACACCAATGCACATACTCATGACTCCTGCATTCAAATGAGAGGGCTATAGTTAACGAACCCCTAAGGACCCTAAAACCACAGCACAGTTAAACCCCTAAAACCACAGCACAGTTAAACCTCTAAAACCACAGCACAGTTAAACCCTTGAAACGACAGCACAGTTAAACCCGTTTCGTACTCTCAGTAAGTCAGAGAACAGTGAACAGTGAACACTAGCACAGTTGAAACCCTAAAACCACAGCACAGTTAAAACCTTAAAACCACAACACAGTTAAACCCCTAAACAACACAACACGCACACTACACCGTCCACATACTCTGATGTGAAGGCTTGGCCATCTGTTGATCCCTGAACGGCCGGTGCTCCTTGTTGGTGTTCTGTGCTACGCTGTCCTCTGCCCCATCCATTGCATCCTCATCTGTCCCATCTCCAGTATCCTCATCCGTAGCATCTCCAGTATCCTTATTCGTAGCATCTCTAGTGGCCTCGTCTGTATGGCTGCCGTCCTGTACGCCTGCACCACTTATCCTGTCTGTGCTGTGCGTGCTTTCCGTAGGCGTCTCTAGGCTGTCAGCGTATGTGCCCCTCTGCAATTGTACTATTCCCGTGGGCGTGTGTATGTCCTCCTCTTCCGCATGCCCTGCACCTCCCTCCACCTCAGTGGACCTGTCACTCTCCGCTGTGGGCGTATCTGTATCTGTCCCCTTCTGAGCCATCCCGTGGGTCCGTTGCTCCACAATCCGCCTGACTATCTTGCCATTCGCATCAATCTCAATGGTGTTGATCACTATCTGTTCCTGTGCTGGTTTGCTTGTATGGCTATCGTCCGTCTCGTCGTCTTCTACGTCCTCGTCTTCTGTAGAGTCCACCTCCTCGCTCTCGGAATCGTCGGTGATCGCAGCCTCATTATCGGATACTGAGATGGTTTGCATAAGCTGTGTGTTGTGTAAAGTGGCGTGAGTGGTAGTGGAGAGGTGAGCCTATCGCATAGTAAGAACATGTGTCTTGTCACACACTGGCTGAGTGTTTGTACTGTGATGGCCCGCCCATCTGTTACATACCTGCGCTACTGTCCAATGACTGTACACTATACAAGCACCTGGATGTGTATTCAGAATCCATACCCTACGGTATATATGGCTGATCGAGAGTTCGTATCTTTTGTGCGTGTGACCGGGCAACCAAGGAGGTGACACACACAGTTATTAGAATACAATAAAGTGCAATACGAAATGTATACGCTATGAAACACAGTTATTAGAATACAATAAAGTGCAATACAAAATGTATACGACAGCTATTAGAATACAATAAAGGCAATACAAAATGCATACGCTATGGAACACAGAGCCTTCGTGATATCAAAGGCAAACAAACGACTTGCACCATGCACTCAGCCCCCCCACCCCCTCTCTCTAAACTGAGACCGACCTGTTAACAAGCATTGAAATGCTGTGGTGTTCTGACCCAGGAACGATTGACCCCTCAACTGAGACTGCGAGAGCACTAGCGCAGCCTTCCGAGTTTAATAGTTAAGGGTTTAGCAGACCACATGAACATTCAACGATCACCTGATCCCAAATTAAGACTCACCGCTTCCAGTTCGCGTTGTTTGACCTTTGTGAACCCACTGGCCTCCACGAGATTGTCCAAATGTCCGTCTCTCTTAATGTCACTGAATTTCACGTACGTATCCGATTCAAATCCGAACCGCCGCTTGAAGAAGTCTCGCACTCCCTCTACATCACGCTCAAAGTACCTGGGCAATCGAGTGTGATGTTGGTACGGTCATGTGATGTTGGTACTGTCATGTGATGTTGGTACTGTCATGTGATGTTGGTACTGTCATGTGATGTTGGTACTGTCATGTGATGTAAGTGCTATCATGTTACTGTGGCGGCGATAGCGGACGAGTTTAACTCCAGTCCAATCAATCGAGCGAGTTGGTAAAAGTGGATACAACAATGGTGACATGCACAAATAAGCACCCCGACAAACGCGTTGTAGTATTACAGGGACAGAACCGTTGCGCGCTAAAATGCACAGCTCTCGAAAATATTGTTCGACGGTACGCTTGGTAACTCTGTTGTAAAGTAATCCGTACAGGTAGCCACTCGAGAGTACACCCTTGCAATGAAGGTGGGTGGATATATGTGTATGTGCAGAATGCGCGTCCCTCCACTGGAGATTCCGGGCCAAATCACCGGAAGGGGTGTAACTAGCACACACACTGATGTGGACTACGTACAACGCCTGTTCTCGGTTGTATGGCCTCTGCATCCATGTATACACACACGCCTGTACACGCACATAATACCTACTGTGACACGATTATGATAGCCATAGGTCACACAGCACACCTGTGCGTAGTCGTAGCGGGCTGTCACAACTTAAACGATCTAGCTACTCATATCAGAAGTACACACCAGAGGCACGTAACACGTTAAAACGCCGATACCAACCATAGTACCACTCATAGGCTTACCACTGTGCATTGGAGTGGTCTGTCGACACCATCTGTGGGAAATCAATCAACGTCATGACATCGTCGTCATCGCACATGACATTGAACTCGTTGAAGTCACCGTGGATTAGCCCACTGTTGCCCAACTGCAAAGTGACGACATGTTAAGGTTACGTTTAACAATGTGTTACAAAGGAAAGTGTACTATAGCTGCAAAGTGACGGCATGTTGTTAAGGTTATGTTTAACAATGTGTTACAAAGGAAAGTGTAGTGTAGCTGCAAAGTGACGGCATGTTGTTAAGGTTATGTTTAACAATGTGTTACAAAGGAAAGTGTAGCTGCAAAATGAGGGTATTTTGTTAAGGTTATGTTTAACAATGTGTTACAAAGGAAAGTACAACTGAAAAGTGACAGTATGTGATGATTGGGCCATTGTGTAGCATCTCCAATCGAGATCACACCTGAGCATCGCACATGAAGAGTAGCCGCACACGTGGGCGAGCTAGCTGCGCACTCAATCAGCCGCAGCACAAAAGCCTGCGCAGTCATTAGTACACACCCACCCCTTCCCCACACACACACAGACGCCCACACCACACACACACAGAGGCGCCCACACCACACACACACAGAGGCGCCCACACCACACACACAGTGAGACGCCCACACCACACACACACAGAGGCGCCCACACCACACACACAGTGAGACGCCCACACACGTGCACAGCACAAGACCAATGCCCACATACCCTCAGTAGCAGAGCCATGAGGCTGTCGTACGACTTGGCGGTGTTCTTGAGGTCGTGGATTTGGTGCAGAGGGTACCCTGCGCACAGCTCCATGACAATGGCGTGTCTGTTCTGGTCGACTGGTTTGGGCACAGGGAAGCCAGCCTCATACAGCGCCTGAGAGATGCGTGCATTCAAGGTTGTGCATGAGCATGGAGTATGTGTGTAAGGGGTGAGCTAGTATGTCAGGCTAGTGCGGAATAGCGTATCTTCAAGCATACGTAAGGGTTGTATGTAAAGCTGAGGCGCAGGTATGCAGATATGCAAAACTGTGGCAGGTGCGTGAGGGGTATCAGATGTTCCCATTGTGTGTGTGACAAGTACTTTCAACGATACACACACGAGACTGTTGTCTGTGTGCGCAGGACGCGTAGGCATCGCATGAAGAACATGCGACGGGGATGCAGTATCAAACAAGGGGGCCAAAGGTGCACATAGATCTATATACATACATACATATATAAATATATATATATATATGTGTGTGTGTATACATATGTATACATATATATATATAGATAGATAGATATATATATATATATATTTATATGTATGTATGCATATATATATATATATATATATATATATATATATATATATATATATATATATATATATATATATATATATATATATATATATATATATATATATATATATATATATATATATATATATATATATATATATATATATATATACTACTACCTACTACTACTATACTACTTACTACTACTACTACGTACGTACGTAACGTAACGTAACGTAACGTACGTACGTACGTACGTAGTACGGTACGTACCGTCCGT